AAAATCCTCGCAGCATGCACGCGCGTGTGCCGCAGGTGATGGCGCAATTTGTTCTAAAAATAGAATTATTGTCCCATATCATGGGGACAACCCCAATACTAGAAATGGCGCGCGCTTACGGTCTCCGTCCCCGATTATGGCTCCTGCTTTGTATAAATCCCTCCTTCTCCCCAAAAGTAATAACTTGGCTTGGGCCTGCGATCCAATCGAAAATCAGTACCTGGACAGTGGTCACCTTAAAAGAGGCAACCTCGACGAGCTCTAAACCTGAGCCCGCGATATGGTCACGTGATACTGGTCAGCGGATACCTTGTATTGACAGGTTTTAACAGTGGCAGTTTTCATTGACGATAACATGGATGTCGAATACCAAGAGACCTTCTGCCAATATCAAAGATGTACGCTCTTAATCAAGACTGCATGGTTGCGCCTAAATAATATCGTCCATAAGGACGAAGTACAGTGAAATCCCGCCTTATGGTCACCCAGTTATTCCGGCCAATTATTATATGGCTGTGTCTCATAAGGACTGAGAACTACCGAATTCACGTATTTGATTGGCTGGAATCGATATTGAACGCGGTCTAGATTTTCCCATCTAGACCGGCATCGAGACCAGATATATTTTTTTTGCGGTAAAAAAGTTGCAAACTAAAATACAAAAGTTTTGACTACTTTTTCCTAAAAATATTTATTTCTGGAAGTGCCAGAAAGCCTGATGAGAAAAAAAAGTAAAGAGGACGAGCAAACTTTGACAGATTTAAGTTCAACTCATCGCCGTTCGCAAGCAAAATGTCAGCTAGTACAAACCAGTTACATTAAACGAATTAAATTTTTCTTGTTTGCCATATACAGAAGGAACCTCGATATAAGGGCCAAGGGACTGGTAAAATATGTTTGTCATAACGAGGTTTCGTTGTACAGCGGAACCTCGATCTAACGAACCTCTATATAACGAAGTTCTTGGTAACGAACGATATTTCTCGCCCCAGTAATAGTAAAAGATATGGAAAAGAACCTTGATACAAGTTTTTGTAAATTGACGTTTTAAAAATCATATTTTATAACCTCTCTTTCAAGGCAAACATTCGAGGTTCAAAGAAATGAAGGGTGGAGCCGTCATGTGCCAAGAAACATATCACGAGAATGAAGTAATAGAATATTATTGTAAAGAATGTAATGTTTGTATTTGCCACAAGTGTGGACAAACACGTCATAATCAACATGATAAGATGGACATACAGCATGCTGCTGAAGAACAGAAAATTCTCATGACGAAAAGTGTCGAGAGAGCTAAGGCAAAATTGAACGCTGTTGAAAAAATGATGAAGAAACAAACCGAATTGATGAAGAAGAGCGAGCAAGAAATCTCTACTGCTGAAAAGGACGTAACAGAATGTGTACACAATATTGTTCAACTTTTGAAAGAACATGAAAAGGCCATCAAAACAGAGTTAGCAACGATCAAAGAATCCCAACAGGATTCTTACCAAGATAACATGGAAAACTTTCAGCTGTTTGCTACTCAGCTGAGAAGTTCTTTTGAATATTGCGAGGGAATTGTACAGAGAAACGTCAGCCATGAAATTCTACAAGCAGGGCATGCCGTGTTAGATTGCTGTGAAGAACTTTTGAATACCCAAGAAATTGAACTCTACAAACCACAACATGTTATGTTTCTCGAAACTGATGATGACCCGTCGGGTCAAGTTGTTGTTACCCACACGGATCCGTCACAATCAGTGGCTGAAGGTAAAGGTTTGAGAGAAGCGAAATTGGGCGCAGAAACAAACTTTTCAGTCACTACACGAGATTCAGATGGAATTCAGTTTTATTATGGCAAAGACCAAGTTAGCGTGAAAATCTGTTCTCCAACAAATGAGGACGACGAAAAGGATATTCAGGATTTTGAAGATGGCAACTACACAGTGCGTTACAGGCCAAAGAGTGTTGGCTTACATGACATTTCGGTCGAAGTTAATGGAAAGCCGCTGACTGGTAGTCCATGGAGTGTTCCGGTGACTCCACATCACTACAAGCGTCTCCGTTCATTACGATCAGGTGGGACAAGGCGGGAACAGTTTAACGAACCGTTTAGCGTAGCAGTCAGCAAAAGAACTGGGAACATTGCCATAGTGGATGGAAATGATAAGCGAGTTCATTTGTTTAATTCCGACGAGAAATATCTAAGAACTATAGGAGACAAGTGGACCAGCACTAAAAAAATAAATCAGCCGAGATCAGTGGCGTTTACAGCATCTGATGAAGTCATAGTCATTCATGGAGACACATCAGAGAATTATAAAATGTATGTTTTTACCGAACGTGGTCAGTTTGTTAAACAAATCCACGAGCACCTGTTTGATCCCATTGCAGTGGTTGTTACAAATGATGGGAACATGATTACTTGTGACTTTGGTGACGATACAGTCAATGTCCTCTCCCCGGACGGTGCAGAATTAGTACGGTCCTTTAGTGCCCCAGATTGCGATGATAATGAGTCTCCCTCGTTTGCTGTTTATGATCAAGACAAATTCTTTGTGTCGTACCGGAAGGCACACTGTATCAAAGTTTTCAATAGAGAAGGAGTGTTTCTATATAATATTGGCAGTGAGGGGTCTGGAGACGGACAGTTGAGTTATCCTGAAGATATCGTTATCGACAAATTCAACAATCTGATTGTCTGCGACAAGGGCAACAACAGGCTCCAAGTGTTTGCACTGGATGGAAAATTTCTTGATTCAGTTAACGAAATCAAACTTCCTAATTCTGTCGCTGTTACAAAAGACGGTGATTTACTGGTGTGCACAGGAGGTTGTGTTCAAGTATTCCAATAGCCTGTGAACATCCCTGACATGATAGATGTCCGGCAGGTGTATGGAACCACCGAATTTGCCCTTTCTTCCGCTATTACTGTAACTGATGAGGATTATATCAAAAACATCTTTTGTGTTTTTCATTAAGCTTTGATCACCGCTACCGGCATTACCATTTATAAGTAGCCTCAAGTGTAAAAGACAGTCGGTCTGGATGGAAATGCTGAAATTTTAGTTTTAGGCGATTTCGCAGCGAGCATCGGTGAGTATTTCAGCCCACTTCTCAGCTATCAGCTGACAGTTCAATTTTTGACCAATTCTCAACTGTCGAACTTCACACACACCCTCATGAAAGATTACAAATTGTCACGATTGTTGAATGTGTAGCTTGCGAACGCAGGCGTATATCCGACAGAGACAACCGACAGCGGGAAATACGTCTGTGTTCGCAGGCTGGGGAGGGGACTCCCATATAAAAAGGACGGGGGGTGCTTGTCGAAAATTTTGAAAAGAACCCCTGGGTCGGGAGGTACCAAGATCCTATTTTGTGGGTGTGGCTTGAAATATTTTTCACCCCTAAGAGTTACTAATTCTAAAACGACACATAATCTCCTGTCATTTTTTCCGTCTCAATACCCTAAAAGGTACCGCAAAAGCTATTGCTGTGGACCTTTCAGGCCGAACACCCTAAGAAGTACCCAGGACGCGTTTTTAATCCCTAAAAGGTACGACGAGCTACCCCGTCCCCACCCAGGTCGCATGCTACTGTTGCCGTGGCTTGCGTGGCCGCAAGTAAAGGCCAGTAAAGGTTCTAATGAAAACACTGCCTCCCTGAAAGAAAACTCAACTGATTGTGAAATGAATTGTCTGTGTTGGCCCGTTTTTACTTTGTATCTGATGAATTGTTAATTAGAACCAATTTGGACGGTGTAACTTTGATGTGACAAGTTGACGCCAAACCTACGACACGAATTATTTCGCGTATTGTACAATCCAAGGAAAATGAAACATTAACCCTGCAACAATCGTGGCGTCAGAATAGATTCCCTCCCTCGTTCTTTCGCTCGCTCCACAAACCGGAACAGTGCTATAATATCACACGATGCTATAATGTGAAATTGGATTCGATTTCTCATTCGACGTTTCAAGGCTCGCGTCTATGATATAGAGGGAAGCCAAACGTTGGCAAGGCGAGAGCGTTCTCGCAGGGACATCTTCCTTCCCATCATACCGCGTTGGGCTCACTCCGCTCGCTGTTTTTCCCCTCTCTCGTGAAGACGAGAGATAGCATCTGCAGTAGTGTTACGAAAACCCCCACGATAAGTTGGGGTGATATGAAAATTACGTAGCGCGGAGAGCCAAAAAAGACGCGGAGCTTCCGCATGATAACCACATCGTCCACCCTCGGCGAAATGGGAGGCGGCCGCTTAATAGAGGTAAGCTGCTCAATAGGGATTGGCTGCTCAATAGGGGCTCGTCAGGAATAGACAATATTCGTATTCTCGGTATTGGGCTGGAACTAGCTTATAGTGGAGGCTCATGCGGGGGAATATTCTTAAAAAGAGATAAATGCTATTTGCATGTGAAAAGACTTTCCGCATTAGGCTCAGTTACAAGCTAGTTCCAAGTCCAATACCGAGAATACGAATATGTTCTATTAGCTGAGTGGAAACGTCAATTTATTCAAATACAAACAACGCTTGGAGGTTTGTGACTAAAGTTGCGCATAATAAAGCCCTATCACTGTTTTCTTAAATCACCTCCACGATCTTTTTCACCATCAGGTGTAATTGCTCAGTGAACATGGACTCACGTCAAGATGATCATCATAAACGTGTGTTTATTTTTAGCAGTCTTCAGTTTCTATTTCGGACTCTTATCTGTCATCGCTCTTTCCAAAGAAAGCCAAACTACGTGTCATAAATTCTGGGTGGCCGCTTAGTAGGGATAAGGACAATCGAAAATCCTCTTCGGGACGACCAAAAGGTGGTGGCTGGTTCATAGGGGGCTTATTTACAGTATTTTACTGACAACAATCTCGGGACTTTGATGACTGGCAGCTTAATTAGAAATGGGTGACCAGTTAATAGGTCGCCGCTTGATAGAGGTTCGACTGTATAACCAGAACAAGAGATTAATAATTAACGATAAGTTTTTGCTAATAGCGATATCCTGTTCACTCTTTTCCCCGCTGGAACTGCGGCTCCCATAGCAGTATCTCGTCGAGACAACGCCCGTCAAACTAATCAGTTTTTCAGTTTAGTTCCAGTTTTTTTTATTATTGCACACTGTTTACAGGAAACAACTTAACATAATATAAGATGGTTTAATCCACAGATGTATTTGACAGTAGTTTTAGAAACACGAAGGTTTTCTCATTTTGCATAAGCCATCAAGCGATATTGCGTTTAACAACAGGAGCCCGGTAAGGGTTTGGTGAGCGGGCCACACCGCCCCCCCCCCCCCCCCC